TTGTATGCTAAACTTATAACAAAATTTAAAGCTTTATATGAAGTAAATTTAGTATACAATATTCAGCGTAGAGAGTTAACTGTATATATATTTATTAATATAGGATCATACTTAGGCTATTCAAAGTTGATTAGTTGTTTAACGTCAAATATTTTGAGCCTAGGCTCGAGGGGGGGATAATGTTAAACAACTATTTAACTTTGAATGACCTTATTTGTATAAACAGAAAGTTTATTCATAACTTCTATACTCATATAGTGGTACTATACTTATCTGGTACCAGAATATGCTGATGTACTATCTGAAACAATAGCAGATAAATTGGCTCCTATCTTTGATGCATCCTTTATCATAAATTCTACTTTAGGGATTATCTCGATCATTCATTCTCGCTCTGAGTTTACATCAATTGCATCCCAAATTAAGACTTCTCCACTTGATAAGATAAATAAAGAGCCAAATATATGTTGTTTTAATATATTTTTTCATCCATTGAATGCTAATGTAACTTCAATGCTATCTTCTTTTAGTTTTTGCTTATGTGACATATTCAAGTTGATATTTTCACTATTAAGAATGTGATTAAATAGAGTATCCTGACTAAGAAGAACAAGGTTTGGATTTAAAAATTCAAAAAACTCTCGAATAGCTGGATCTCTAGTCTATTGGAAGGCCCATTCATTAGATATTGTTATCCGCAGTAATAACTATTTGAACTTTGGTTTCTCTTTTTTAGTAACATTTCTAACCATAAATTTTTCTATAGAACTTGTTGGTTTTTTTATTACTCAGCTTTTAGAGGTTTTCGTAGTAGAAGATGATGCATTTGTATAATCAGTTGTAACGTTATCCGTGTTATTATCTTATAAAAAAAACATTAATTATCTATAATACCTAAATTTAAATACTCAAAATTAATTACCATATATAGAAGAGTTTTGACACTTTTTTGAAGCTTGACCTTGAGAAGCATGTTCTGCTTTATTATTTGTCTTGTTACAATAAAAATCTACTGCTTCCTATGACTCTAGCTTAGTGAGAAAATGTTCATATTTCTTTAAGTGGTTCTGAACTATATTTTTTTTGTTAGTAATTTGTATATTAAGAGTATCTTCCCAACTAAGAGCTTTATCACAAGCTCTGCATATACTACTCCTATTGTATTTATTTGTAGCCTTCACACCAAGAACAATAATATCTTTTGTAAATCTGTGCTTCTCAAGACCTCCTGTATGTCATAGAGCTATTTATACTGAAGATTATTTTTCAAAAAAACTTTAATAAAAAAGAAGCAGATTAGGTAAAATAAACAAGACTACTAAGAAAAAAAGACTATATCAAAGAAACAATTGTTGACTATTATCAATATGATGATATATACAGTTTTCCTAGATAATAATTAATATTCTCAAAATTATTAAATAAACTCACGATTAAAAAGTATCACAAACTAAATTGATATTAACGCAAGTAAAACTTTTGAAGCTTATATATTGCTTCAGATAAAAATAAAGATAATAATTCTGATCAATATTTG